ATATATATATATATATATATATATATATATATATATATATATATATAGGTATGCTTTACAACTGCAAGTTACAAATTCTTTTTTTGTTTACTTGATCTAAAAATAAAAAAAAAAGCAACTGTGAGCGACTACTACAATTACCCTTTTTTTTTTTTCACTGTTTCTTAATGCCGGAAGGTTGGAATTTAGAAAAATTATAGTTTTGTGTCATGTCTGTCATTTATTTATTTTAATACAAATCTAAACAACTGAGCAAACATCCTCTAAGAATGGTGATTCCATAATTTTTGTCAAGATTTGGAGTAATTTTTTAACCCTATTTGCTTGAACCTGCTTCTGTGACAAACCAGTTTCCCTCATGGCATCAATAAAATTTATCTCTATTTGTGTGAATGTTTATAAATCATCTGCACGATTTAGATCCATTTCTCTTTCATAAGTTTTTTTTTGGCACGTAACTCGTTTTTGTGCTGTTTCAACAATTCATACATCAGAACGTTCAGCTCGTTCAGGACATTCCTGCTTTGACTTTTGGTATTTGTACAATTCTTACTTTTTGAAATACAGTATTTAGCTTCGTCGGCCATGTTTTTCTCATTAAAAATGAATGGAGCTCTTCATGTCCTTCAAACCCTGTTTAAACCGCTCATTTCAGCTTTTGCTCTGGTTCAGCTTTTTCAGCTTCTTTGAGCTCATTTCAGCTTTTTTCTGCTAAGTTCAGATTATTTTCTGCCTTTTCAGCTACGTTCTTACATATTTCTGCTAAATTTAAACATGTTTCCGCTCCACCCCCTGATTTCCATCTTTTGTGCTTCTTTCTAAAATAATTTAATATTTTTCTGCTCCTTTCAGCTTCTTTCTGCTAATTTCAACTTGAACTTTTTCAGGCTACTTTTTGTTGCTAATTTCAGCTTATTCGTCTCATTTATGCTACATTTATGCTCTTTTCAGCTTTTTCTATACATTTCTTTTCTACTCTTTTCTACCGTATTTTTCAGACTATAAGGCACATTAAACGAAACAAGTTCATTTTGACATATTTTTGAGTGCCATGTATCACATAAAATCAATTCGAGGTCAGTAAGCACAACCAGAATGAATACATAAGGCTCACTGTTGATTTTTGAGAAAAATTAAAGGATTGTAAGTGCGCCTTATAGTCCGAAAAATACGGTACTTTTATTTCTTGCTTTCAGCAAGAGTCAGCTGTTCTAATTCAGCTCTCATTAACAGTTTAGTGATGAAATCTTTTCAGCCTGGTTTCAACTTCTTCAGCATCTTTCAGCAAAAATCATTAGTTTATTTATCAGGAAATGCAGATTCTCTAGTTTGAATTAGACATATAGTTCTACAATATAACCTCGTCTCTGGAGAAGTACGTACACAAATAAGAGGTAAAATGTGGATTTTTTTTTTACATGCCAAATAATTGTTAGCACCTTATTTTACACCTGAGAACTCTAAGAATAACGAACTGTGTAATAACAAACACTGTATATATGAGCTGTGGCCTTGAAGAGAACCGGGGGTCCTCTCCAGCAGACAAACTGTAATGTATCTCCTAACAGCAGCGAGCAAAAAGATAAATGCTTCTTGTTCCCGAATCAACACAATACTTCGGCTCTGTTTCCGTCCTCTCTCCTGCAGGGGAAATCTGATCGTTCTCAATGAGTAAATGTAACACAGCCCGATTAAAGAGTGAAGTGATCCACAGCAGTGGGGACTTGGTGGGGGTCAAAGAGACGAGGAATGTGCCTCCAGTCTGCTGCTTCGGAACAGAGGAGTGGAAAAATGAGAACGAGTGAGTCAGCTTTGTGAGGCAGGAAGGAGGATAAACTTCTTCCATCACATTGAAACCCTCAGTCAAATGACGTTTTTGCTAACAGACTGTTAAAGTTGAAAGAATGTGCAAAAGTTCTGATTCGTTTACATTTTGCACACTTATCATCTTTGAGGTGGTCCTGATCAGTCGATCTTATGAAGGTTTTTTTTCCTCATTGTCTGTTACTAAACAATCCATGGACTCATTCAAACACAAAAATGTTTCCAACTCATTCAGTAAAGCACTCATTTAGATTTTAATGTCATTTGTTTCACTGTAGCCAGAACTATGGTAGTTCAAGTTTAAGTCAATTTTATGATTATTGTGGTACATGAGCTGGAATGAAATTGCAGTTACATCCAACAATAGCAAAAATATAAAGTGTAAAAAGAAACAATATATAAGGGTCTAAGATATACAATGAACACTAATAATGCAAAACAATATGGCATAAAAACAGCAGCCCAAACATGAGCCTGTGTGAGCAGATGGATATGAATGAACACAGCAATATGAGATAATCAGCAGCATGGACGATCAGCAGCACAGATAAGCCACATATCACCCATTAAAGTGGCATTACAGTGATTTATTTTTTCTTGATGCCAGTTAATGGTCGTGCACTCCTTGAAGGAGCTGCCAGAAATAGTAAACTGTCATCTTATGATGAAAAGGGACACAGCTGATGTGGTTTTGTTCAAACCGTCAAATTATTTTACCAGATCTGTCAGAGCTCAACATGCATGTTGAGGGTGACTCTCGGGCTGCTAATTCATCAAACTTTAGCTCAACGTCTGTAAGAGTGACTGAAGTAAAGCCGTTTTAGAGACAGCTCTGGTTGATTAGTTAAATCAGGTTGACGCCCAACAGTTAATTAGTCGTACATTGTTCATCCAGGGAGATATATTGTGAGATATTTTGCTAACGCTACAAGCAAACACAGAGATGGGCAAGAACGCACTGTAAAAACGAGACAATGAACATGAGAGGATGTTTGGGCCTGAGACGTTTCTGCAGCAGATTAACCAAATCTGAAAAGAGTAACCTGCAGAAAGTAGAAACTCACACACAACTTTTCATTTACTCTGATGTATTTCTTCCTGACTCAACTTTTGTGTCTTAAATGATTTTCTCTGTTTGAGGCCAGAATAAACCGCGCGGCAGTGAAACTCATACGAGTCTGCATGGAGGGAAGAAAAGTGCCACCATTCTGCACGCAGACAAAAACACTTTCCTAATTTTACCGCTCGCTGCTGCACAGATGAGAGACGGGAGTTGTGTGGCTGCTGTGGGTGGAGTGAAGCACATATCAGGGGCATGAATCACTGCTGGTGTGTGTGTGTGTGTGTGTGTGTGTGTGTGTGTGTGTGTGTGTGTGTGTGTGGGTGTGTGTGTGTGTGTGTGTGTGTGTGTGTGTGTGTGTGTGTGTGTGTGTGTGTGTGTGTGTGTGTGTGTGTGTGTGTGTGTCACAGCATGTCTACTGTTTAAGAGGGCCGTCTTTCTGCTCAGTCTGACAGCAGTCTCAGCTGGGACCGGGCTCAGACGTTTTCATTCTTTGCCTGGTGAGCAGAAACTCAATCAGGTGAGTACTCCGAGAAAACAACTCAATCCAGGAGTGAGTTTTGTGGAAAGATAGAAAATGGATGTGTGCAATCCAAATGCAGAGCAGTAAAAAAAAAAGAAGGAAAAAATAAAAGGCAAGATGGGTGACTAGGCTAAACATGTGCAGCGTTTACTGAAAGTTGCATGTGAAAATGTATTCATTCACATTTAGTCACATTTTTAAACGCGTTGTCTGTGAAATCCTGCAGAATATTTGATGTTCTCTGGTTCTTAAGAGTATGTCCTCCTGCATCACTTCTGATTTCTTATTTTTCATCCCATCCAGCTTTAACCATGGCCCGTTTGGATCAGGTCATCACAAACATTGTGGACATCTTCATGGAGTATGCCGACACTGAAGGCAAGAAATGTCAGTTAAACAAGGAGGAGCTCAAGAATCTGATTGAAACTGAGATACAGAGTGCCGAGTTAAAGGTGAGCAGCTATACACTTAAAAAAAAAACTCTTTTGATTATGTGGTTTATTTGTCATACGCAGGTTAACACAAGGTCAACAACACAATGAAATGTTCAGGATAAGAAAACCCGATTCGACTCGCTAAAAACAAAACAAAGAAAACTAAAGCATGCAATAAGGGTACAAAATAAAGAACCAAAAGGTGGAAAAAATATATATTAAACAACAACATGGTAGAAAATAACTGTGCAAGTAAGATGAGTATTTTATATGTAGTAATATAAATGCACATGATATATATAACATAACTAACATATACTTATAACATATACTTTTCATGTGCTAATAACCATTTTATCTCTTCTCGTGTGGTTCATGCTGCTGACGGTGCATCTATCTGCTCCAGGACAAGATCAGTGCGAATGACATCGAGGAGATCATGGAAATGCTGGACAAGAACCACGACGGCGAGGTGAACTTCCGCGAGTTTTGTCGATGTGTGTGCGACCTCGCCAAATGCTACTACCACAAGAAGACGGGCAGGGGCGGGAAGAAGGGCAAGGGCAGAGGGCAGGAGGGGGAACAGGATGACTGCAAGAGCTAAAACACGTTTAAAGAACAAGAACATACATGTAAAGTCAGGGAGGCCACCAAGGGGGCGAGGGTTGGGAGTGTCCAGGGGGTCAAAGGCGCCCCTGTATAAATTTTCTGGACACCCCCCTCAATCCCCCTGCAGGTGTCCCTGTGTAAAGTACAATGACTCTACTGCTCTCTGTAAAGACGTGCAAACTTTCTGAAAATAAAAAGTATCTCTGAAGTCTGACTGCTCATGGCGGTGTCGTGTTTGGAGAGAGGTGCACGACTCATCAGACATTCAACAGACGTCTCCCTCAGAGTTTTCAGTGCGCACACATCACCGTCAGTCACTCCTCAGGTAAAGTCTGGTTTGTTGTGTTCACCTTTGTAACCAGTGGCCTCCTGTGTCCTGGTCCTGAAGCAGCAGGAACAGAAACCCACTCACCTGCAGCCCTCGCCTCTGCAACACAACGTGCACGAACTTAACACAAACAATGTGAACTAATTAAAAATAAAAATAAAAATGGTCAAACCACCACTTTACGTGTTGCTCATTCCAGAACCAGAACAAAACTTAGATCACTTAAAGTCTTCAAGCTTATAAGTTTAAGTTGTGACTTTACAAACACCAGTGAAGTAGAAGAAGTAGACGTGCATCATGTTAGTGATGGGGTCAGGAATTTAAAAACAATATTAATAAAACAGTTTATATGAGGTTGGGTACCACTGAAGAAAAAAATGACAGAAGAAGGTCTTGAACTTAAAGACAAACATAAAGACAGTTTGGAAGCTCATAGAGTCTGATTTGTAAACAATTTTAACATAGAACTTATTTTGTGTGATTATATCAAGTCTTGGAGGGGGGGAACGGTGGCGCAGAGGCTAGCAAAGGCGAGCCTGTGATCAGAAGGTCATCGGTTCAACTTCCTGGACTCACAACATCAAAATGTGGGTGGGAAACGTGAAGCTCCCACACCTGCCTCCACGCTCACTTGCCCCACCCTGGGCCCCTGAGCAAGGCCCCCAACCCCCACCATCCACTTCCCCGGGCGCCCTAGATGGCAGCTCTCTGCTCCACACTGTAGGATTCCTGGATTTCTCTGCCACACTTACTCTGAAAACCATGACCAATCCACTAATTTTCAGCACCTGCTGCTGATTGGGATGGACTGCTCTAAATATTTATGACCAGAATTTGTGCCCACAGATGTTTTCCCGGCGCTGAGACATTATCTACCTGTTGCGATTTCCAAATCCTGTTCGTTCGAGTCTTCCCGAGATCTCGTGGCTCACCTGCGGATCAATAGTGTCCCTTCAACTTCCAAACAAGTACCTAAAGTACCTCACCACCCGATGAAGAGCTTCTCAGCGTGACCTCAGCCGAAGTGAGGAAAACTTTCAGGAGGATTAATTCTCACAAAGCGACCGGCCCAGACAACAACCACCGGGAAGGTGCTGAAAGAATGTGCCGATCAGCTCTGCTAGGTACTGGCCGACATCTTTAACTCCTCACTTATCCTGGCAACAGTTCCTACTTGCCTGAAAACCGCCACCATCATCCCAGTCCCAAAGAGCTCTACAGTGACTGGTCTGTTTAGGTGTTCCAGCAAGAGGTGGAACACCTGGATAGCTGGTGCAAAAAGAATAACAAACACATCATTGTGAAGAAGACAAAGAAGATGAATGTGAACTTCAGAAGAAACAACCCCCCCCCCCACCCCCACCCCACCCCCTGAACATAGGAGGATCTGCAGTGGAAGTGGTCTTCAACTACAAGTATTTGGGTGTGCACCTGAATGATAACCTCAGCTGGAACAACAACACCACCAGCCTGATCAAGAAAGCTCATCAGAGACTCTACTTCCTCAGGCGGATGAGACGAGCTGGTCTGGGAAGCTCAGTCCTCACCTCCTTCTTCAGGTGTGCAGTGGAGAGCATCCTGTGCTTCAGCATCAACGTGTGGCATGGAGGCTGCACAGCTGCAGAAAGAAAAGCTTTGCAGAGAGTGGTGAAGGCTGCACAGAAGTCTGTTGGAGTCAGTCTCCCCACCATCACAGACATCTACACCTCCAGATGCAGAAAGAAGGCCACCTGCATCATGAAGGACCCCACCCACCCAGCACACACTTTTAGCCCTGCTCCCCTCAGAAAGGAGGTTGAGGAGCATTAAGTGTAGAACCACTAGACTGAGGAACAGCTTCTACCCTGAGGCTGTTAGACTCATGAATCTCTAACCAGAATAATCACATCATGTTGCTGCTGATCTGGTTCATGTTGATGTGTTCATGCTTGCTCATCTGCTCACACAGACTCATGTTTGTGCTGCTGTTCAGCGTATTGTGTTTATTGTTCTTATGCTACTAGTGTTTAATGTACATTTAGTTGATGGTTTTCTTAGTTCATATCTTAGATGGGGGCTGAGATGGTGTAGAGGCAGGGCAGCCGGCTTGGAACCCAAAATTCCCAGGTTCGATCCCCGGTCAATGCATACCGCGTGGTGTCTCTGGGCAGCACACCTCATCCCCAAAATGCCCCAGGCGCCTTCAATAGCTGCCCACTGCACCACCTGGTGGTGGATGGGTTAAATGCAGAGACTAATTTCGCCATTGTATGGAAACATATTGTGATGACATTATTATTAGATCTTATTACTGTTTTTCTTTTACATTTTATTGTTGGATGTAACTGGGACCCTGTGTACATAATTTCGTTCCACCACATGTACCACATGTGGTGCGAATGACAGTAAAGAATCTCTATATCTGTATCTGTAAAGGCCAGCAACGTTTAGCCTGATACAACCTGCTTCTCTCTCCTCCGATACTCACCTCCTCTGGATCTTCATCTCCCTCATGAACCTTGTCTCCCTCTCCTCTCTGGCTTCCCCTTCGTTTGGCTCAGCAGGTTGGCCTTCAGGGAGTTGTTCTCGAGTTGTTTAAGTCTTATTTAACAGACAGAACTTCCTCTGTTACGATAGGTGATCTGTCCTCTTCTTCTTCGATCTCTCTGACCTCTGGTGTACTGCAGGGATCCATTCTGGGGCTTGTTCTCTTCTCATTTTACATGCTCCCGTTAGGACCTATCATTGCACGCCATAATCTGTCTTTTCATCTGTATGCAGACGATCTGCAAATCTATCTGCCGGTCACTCCCAATCTCTCACCCAGTTTAAACTCTATTGTCAGCTGCTTAAACAATATTAAGCATTGTCTGTCTCCGAATTTTCTCCACCTAAATAATAATAAAACTGAATTTATTTGGTGCTTCCAGTAATTCATGTAACATCTCTCTCAGTCTAGGTTTTCCACTCCCGCACTCCAACCAGGTGGTAAAAAATCTAGGAGTGGAGCTTGACTGTAACTTAAAGCTAGATAAACAGATCGATTCTGTTGTGAAAACCAGCTTCCTTCAGCTCTGTCTGCTTTCTAAAGTAAAGTCACTTCTTAGCCGTAGTGATCTGGAGACGGCCATCCATGCTTTTGTGAGCTCTTGGCTTGATTACTCTAATGCCTTATACGTCGGTATAAATCAGTCTTCTATCTCCCGTTTACAGCTTGTACAAAACTCTGCTACTTGCTTATTAACTAACACACATAAATATGAACATATCACTCCTGTCCTTTCATCTTTGCACTGGCCCCTGTTTCAGTTTAGGATACAGATCAAGCTGCTGCTGCTTCTTTTCCTCTCCAGCCCTGAAGCTGCTGCACCTGTAACTAAAATCTCTCACCTTTTGTGTGCCTGGCTCTTCTCAGTCTGCTAACTCGGGGTCAGCATGAACTGCACACATGACACACAGAGGGCTGTGGTAGCTCGGTGGTCTGCGGCTGCATCAGGAAGGGCATCCGATGTGAAACAATTGCCAAGTCTTTGTGCGAGTTAGTTTGCTGTGACGACCTCTGAAGAAGGGAGCAGCTGAAAGAAGATATCAAGTCTTAAGCAGAACCCAGTTCAATTCCCAGTCATTTAAAAGTAGTTCAAAGTTATTTTCCTTTTTATTTTGTAGTTAAAAATGAAAACGTCTCATCGTTAATCAAACTGAAAAGTTTTATCCACAAAGGAAAACACTTTTTTTTAAGATAGCTGAACTCTAAAAATTTGGTTAAGTGAAAAGGTGATAACAAACAATATCTTACCTGTTGTGGAAAGCTCTTTGAGCAACTTCAGTGTGGAGTGTAACTCTGACCAGAAGAATGAGCCATTGACTAGTTCAAGTTGAATCCAGACCCAAGAGGATTGCTGCCATCTTAAAAACAATCTTAAGCTTTAAAAAAAATGCACTGACTTGTTTAAGCAACCATTTTTTAAAAATAAAAACACGATGATTAATACAGAACTTGTACTAATACACAAAACTTTGCTAATCCAAATAACGGTGGCAGCAACAAGCTGTAGCACCTCCAGCAGGAATATCTTATTTCTGCTAGAATAAATGTGTAATAAGAAATAGGGGTGCACCGATTTATCGGCCCCAATTTCCTTAATTTTGGGAAATCGGTCGATACTTGCATGAGAAGCCGAATTTACTGACTATTTTAGTTTTAACAACAATTGTCTGAACTTCGTTTATATTTCCGAGCACTACCTCATGGCCAGTTAAAACAAGTTTGTATTTTTTCTGGGATATTGTTCAAGGGTATGTTTTTCAATAAAATAATATTGGAAAATTGAAGGTGTATTGTGACCTTATAACATCTGATAGTGTCGCTTATAAAACAAAATCGGTCTCAGCCAAAATCGGAATCGGCAGGTCAGACTTTTTAGAAATCGGTGATCGGCCAGAAAACTGCAATCGGTGCACCCCTGATGAGAAATTAACATGCTTGAATGAACCACCTTGAAACTTGTTCGATCTGGCTCCACTCAAACCTGCTATGAGCTCATCAGCCTGGTCAGAAGTAAATGTTATTTCTCTAAACTGAGATGGCTCAACAAGTTATCTACAGCAGGTAAGATATTCTTTAAAACAGCTTCCCATAAACAAATCCTAACCTCAAAAGATCTGAACTATTGCTTTAAGATTGTGCC